GAGAGAGAGAGAGAGGAAGGAAAGAGAGAGAGAGAAAGAAGGAAAGAGCGTACGAGATGCTGGAGAGATTCAAGCAGAGACGCCAGGCAACGGCAGGTTGCTCCTTTCGAAGGGAACCTTCGGAGGGACGGGGTGAAGCTCCGGCTAGGCCCCACCGGGTGAAAAGAAGTCGATCAGGTAAGGGTCAGGGACGCATTCGCAACTTTTGCCTCGGTCGCCAGATGCTCCGTCGTCCAATGTTGTAGAACGAAAAAAGTTTTTTTCCGATCGAAACTGCGCAATAGAGAAAAGAAAATGTAATATATGTTGATATAATGAATGATAAATTAATGATGGTATTTTATTATGAAATAAAAATGTAAATGGTTTAATAAGATAGTTACATTGCTTTATTAATTATATCTTGATAGAAACGTAATGCGAGAGGAACTACTTTTCTTTTTTTTTTTTTTGTAAAGAGGAAGTTAAAACGAAGATTGCACAATCACCATTCAATTAGCACAGTAACGAGTTTTCATCTGGTTTTATTTACGTAACCGGCGGTAAATCGCGATATGAGATCATACAACCGAGCAATCATCGGCGTGCTTTCACGCCGATCGTTTTACGATTATTACCTGCTATTTCGATCTCTGTGTTAGTGAAGGTAAACAGAGATCGAGAAAGAAAATACGAAGAGAGCGATACGAGTTAATACTAACGCTCATAAAAATGATTCAAAGAAAGTAAGAATAATCTTCCAGTGGCAAATGTATTTTTACCTGTGCCCGGTCTCGTAACAAATTCGTGCGGACAGATCGCTCATTTCCTTTGAACGCGCGTTGAAAGCAGAAAGAACGTGACAGGGGAGAAACAAATGACGTCACGCGATTCTACCTCGAAGAAACCGGCTATTCAGTTCGCAAATCTTCGAGCCTGAATAGGAGCGTTCAGGGTCTAAACCAGCTGGGCTGGTACAGACGCGGATTAGTCCACGAACGTTTGTACCTTCGTCTCAGGTAGAAGAGATCTGACCGATAAACTTGAAACTTTGTTCCAAAAAGGAGTAGGAATACAAGAAACGTCTTATTCTTTGATTACATGGAAATCTTTTTCTTTTTTGACGTAGATCTGTAAAAGGACGTAATAATATGCTTAAAGTAACTTTAGCCTCGACTGGTAGGTTGGGGTTAAAACGATGCTCATTGTTCTTTCGAAGCTTGTTGGTATCTGATTACTCGTCTGGTTGAAGTGCAAGAGGGTTAAAATTATTCCTGTTAGTAAGTCTCCATGACGCGTACAATATTGTATATCAAAATCAATTTAATTAAGAATAGAAAATTAAAAATAAAAATAAAAATATATATATCACATCTAGTATAGTTTTTCATAAATCAGGATAAAATCTATTCTCTTTTTTTTTCTTTCTGTCTCTCAAAAATTCTATTTGCATCGTATACGACTCAATCTACCAGCTGAGAGGGATTAACAAGTTTTGCAATAACGTAACGTCTTACCAGGATCAAGGTGTGCTTACCTTGAACGTAACGCTTCACTTCAATAAACATACGCACACCGACATTCGTAAATTCCAGTCACGTCCTACACGGTTGCGTTCAGAATCAGATGAAACTGATAACGAATACATTACGACATTTTTTACGGTGATTTGTTCCGTTGGAGTCCAGGGCCAAATGACAATAACCAATGGAAAGACTTGATGTCGGCACGAGTGATGGCAATGACCCGAGCATCGTGCGAATCCCTCGATCGGGTCCAGCTGGTGCTGGGGCGCAGTCGACAAATAGATTTCGCGCATTTTCCACCTCGCGAGCACTCTATCCATTTCCGAGCGGGATGAGTCAGGCTTCCACTCGAAGCTACCGGTCACTCTTCTATTTTAATAATTGCCCACCTCTAATTTTACCTCGACAAGAAGAGTAGCGAAACAGAACAGCCGCCGACTGCGCACTATCTGCCCTTTTCGTACTTCGTTAATGTATGCACTTTTGTTATAACCAAGTTACAGCTGGAAACATAAGAACGAAGTGAATTAACCATGTCGCACGATTTCATTCTGTTATGCGTTCCACAGATTCCAAATTGAATCGTGACGAATTAATATCTCTTTCTTCTTACCTAATTTTTAAATAAGTGGAATGTAAATTTCTCGATGTCGTAAATATATAGAGATGTTCTACGTTGTGTACATCCTAGTTTGGAATTAAAGAAAAATAAGAAAAATTAAGGATGAGAAATCATTATTTAAGAAATAATTAGGAAAGATGAAAAACTTACATTATATTACTGGTGAAATGTTATTTAGATGTTTGAATTATATAAGCTGATTTATTACTATGCCTGTAATTTGGAGATCAATATACAACATGATCAATATATAAAATATAACCTCAAAAAATCTATTGTTAAGATATTTTAAGAAATACAAACGATAGAGGATAATAATTACATTTAGAATCTTCTGAATGATTAATAACCAAGGATGAGATAGAAATCGATCGTCGAATAGTTGATGTTTAATCTGAGGATTAAACTATTGTGAAATAAACATCGAATAATACCGAACAGCTTTTTCCATTTCTCTTAACTTTGCCTGTGAAACATGTTATTCATAAACATCTTTGTATTTACATACACGTTCGAATTTATCGTCGTACGTGCACTGTTTACAGCAAACATTGCTTTTATTCCAGTAATGTAAAAGGAAAAAAACAGTTTGTTTCAAAACACATGCAGAGAATGAAAATATGGATTCGGAAAAATGAGTCGTAGACAAAGAATATGTAAAGTGTACACAAATAAAATACTATATATGTAACACTTTTTGTAACAATTTTAAAAAAATCAAGATTATAAGTTAAAATATTAAAAAAACAAATGTTAAAATGTATTTCTTTGATTGTTAAAAATTTTCACTTGTATAACGTAAAAATTAACACTGAACACTTTCTCGGTGCAATCACAATGCAAAACCGCCAAAACGTCTTAGATGTCGCTGTAATCGCGCATTTCTCGATAAGAATCGTTCTCAATCGAAATCGATGCGAATCGATCACGTCCATGCATGCTTCCCGTACTCCTCTCTGTTCGATAATCGATGGAAAAAATCTGGAATTCCCAGTGGGTGGACCAGTTCTTCGTCCTCGAAGATATTCGAACGTGGCGATCCTTTCACGTTGTACACGTGAAACTCATTCGTTCTGGTGTATGCGATTGCAAAAATCATATCATTTTATTATCGATCGATTTATCGAATTTTAAATTCAAAAAATTGTATGAATACATATATAAATAATAACAATTATTGAATTTCTTAGAAAGTTATAAATATTTTTTCTCAATAATTTATGTTTCGTTTCGTAATTGTTATTAGAAAATTTAAATTGTATATTATAAATATTAATTTACAAATTATATATTCTGAATATCTTTTAGAAGAGAAATATATTTTACTACTAAAAGGAACTCGGAAAAAAAAATGTGACACAAAATTTTTGATTCAATTCTTGAGAGAGTTATGAATGAAGAATTCGATAAGGAAATCTATATATTTTTATACGTTATATTTCTATACTAATCATTCATGGAAGTACATAATTCTTCTTGTGTCAGCTTTCCTATATTATATCTTTCAATCGTAATAAATTCTTTGATATTAGTTACGAATCATATTACGTATTCATTTGCAAATCAAATAAAACAGTCTACATGTTATGATTATTTTTTTTCGAACTACTTCGAAAAATAAACTAATTTTTCTCGATCGACGGGCAGGGAAACACGCCGTTCTATGATTTAGATTTCTTTTATTTCCGAAGCTTTGTATGCACATATAACGATCAACGGTGTAACAATACTATCTCTGCTGATCGCAATCAAGAAATTCTTTTTTTTTTCTCTAATTCTCTTTCTCTCTTTCGTACGTGCACTCGTCCACATTTTTTCTCTTTCTCTCTCTCTCTTTCTCTCCTTTGGTAAAATCAAACACCCATTCCCTCAATTCCTTTATTATATATTTCCTAATTTCTTGCGCATTATGCAAAGTGAATAATCGGTATCTCCACCATGGAAATACATTTCGTTACACACGTAATTTTGTAATCGAGCAACGAGTCTCGCTCTATGAAAATCGTCATGGAGACCGCTCGCTCGAACATAAGATCGAGAAGAACGCTCGTATAATACTGTTTTGGTTTCGCCTTCGAATGAAACACATCGCATTATGTTATTGAATATTTCTACCAACGTCGTTCCTCGACGTGGAAATAAGAGACGATTCTTAACGAATTTTATTATTACTTTTTAGTCTCTTTTTTTATTTATTTTTTTTTTTTTCTTTTAAACGCGACATTGACTTAAAAATTATCTCCTTTTTTTCCCCCGAATTTTCGTAGAATTCTTTTTTTCTCGTAGAATTAGAGATGAAGCGTAAAGAAGATTAATAAAGTTCCTCTTGGAAGATAGAAATCGTTCTTTAAGAGCGAAAACCTTAAGAGTTTTAATCTAAGAATCTTTTCTGAAGGTCGTTGGGTCTCGTATACACTGACGAGCAGTAATTAATACTGGTGATTATTTAATAGATATTATAATTAATACTCTCTGCAAATGGCGATGACACACTTGTTTTTCCAAAGGTAAAAAAGGTTAAATATCACCTATAATACAAGTTACAGATTATATGTGCTTCGTCAAAAGAATATTTATGGAATATATTACGTCCTTTAAACTATGAGCTCTTCACTCGTCAGTCTACACGTATCCTTACGATTCTAAGCGTTCTCGCTTGAAGACACTATTAAAAAGTATCCTAGTGCACCTTTCAAACTCTCGAGAACGAACGATGAAATTATATGCGTGCAATCGACGAATCGCTCGATACAGTGTGACCTATAAAAAATCTATATCTTTCTCGAGCATGCAGTAAAGCATCGATTCGATGACGATTACGAAGGAAGCTGCTAAGAGAACGTCGAAAACGAACCATCTTTTTTTTCCTTTTCTTTTTTTACGATGTACAAATTCTTCCAGGCAGGAAGAGGCTTTAGCCTGAATTATTTATATTACATATATAAGTGTCGTTTACATTACAAACACGCTAAATACCTGAGAGAAACGTGATCACGAGCATGTGTCGACCGATTATCGTTGACATTACTTCCATTACTTTTATAAAGATATAGAATGTCAAACGTTTTCGTTGCTGGCCGACTATGTAATTCGCTACGTTCTCACGATAGAAATATTTTATATATATATATATCGAAAATTTCGATGATATTCTTATGCGATAAGAGCGGTGCAATCGGTAAAAAAGTAAACGCTCAAAGGGACATCGATTATGGAATTTGTTTCTCGTCGTACGAGTTTATGGAAAATCTTAACATCGATCTACTGCACGAAAAATCTAGAAATCTGACTCGTCGATGAGATGAATTTCATCGAACAATGTTTGTTTTTCTTTTTTTGTATCGTCGACAAATTGTACAATTTATTTCATATTCAGATTGTGTAATATAGATCAGATAAATAAATGAGATAATGCTTTATTATTCTGTGTGACGCATATACCATTAATTATCGAATCGAAAAAGATAATACGGTGATGCAAGAATGCTCCATTTATCCAAATTATATTTATTCGAAATGAACGAGAAATGATAGTAAAAAGAAATTGGTGAACTTTTATCATATGAAATCCTACGTATCCAATATAGCCTATTGACTCTCGATAGATTCAGATAAATAACGCATTCTAACGTATCTACTATGTTTCTTATTTTCCAGTCGATATAATCTACCGAGTATGTCGAAACTGAAGTTATGAAGTTATATCAGCGTTATATTGAATACCTTTCTTCCGTTCTGTCCATTTGTATATTTATTTAATTGATGAATAAAAAATATTATTAATATTAAATATCGCGGGAGAATACACACATTTCGTGTCATCGGTAACGCCCCTATAATCGCGAACGTGGCGCCTATGTCCTACTAACGAATGCAGATCGTATTGTACAAAGTCAGTCGCTGCTCGGGAATGGTAAAAGACGGTGTCACCGATGATTTATGTTACCGCATTATATGTATATGCTTACGAAGCTATTCTTTAAAAATGTAAATCTTTCATTCTCCCCTTATTCTCATAATCTTAATCACAAGAGGAGGAAGCGGCGAGGAACGTGTGTACTGTCCAATTTCAAAAGGCGATACATTATTTTAAGTATACTTTCTAATTTTACGTTCTAACGGATTCTTTCTTTTTCTCTTTCTTTCTTTTCACAGAAGGAAAAACTGCATACCGAAGAATAATTACTTTCAAAATAACCCATCAAACGTACAAGGTTATCGTGTGGAAAAAAAACCGACATAACCTCTAAAGTATACTCTATATAATAAAAATTGCTTCCAGGCATGTCACATGACGAATTATGGGATCAAAGCAAGTTTCAACGAATTATAAGAAATATATTTTATACAGAATGAAAATTCGAAATAATTCCAAATAATTTTAATCCCACAAGTCACGAAACATGCGTTGAAGCAAATCTTATTGTATAGACGTTACACTGTAAAGGTATTTCAGGTTATGAATTCATTTTAAAATAAATTCTCGAGAGTTTGCTATCGAGAATACTTTTTACAAGTAAGAAAACTGCATTGACAATGCCTTAAAATAACTTTCACAGTATCCATTTGTTTTTTGTGAGTTTTTTTTACTTTCAAATGAATTCAAACCTTAACAAAATATCACTTCATATTCTTTCAATAGTTGTTTCAACGCTGTGAACGTTTTACTTAACGAAATCACGTGCTCGAACAAATGTATTTCGGTTCCTCTTCTGGGTCAGTTGTCTTTATTTCCTATTCTAAATACGCTTAACCGCATGTCATGATAAAGCAACATACCATTTATGTCTCTCGCTGAACTCTCGATCAAATGGCGAATTACGGTTAATGAACGTATGAATCAAAGCGAATTGTGCGCGGTTACGGAATCGCGATTACATTTAAGGTCAGCTCTTACGTTGGGAGTAGTTTTCAATCAGTCAGCTTAATTCCACGCTTGGAATTCGATTTTCACACATGCCAGGGTTTTTATGTATTTATGTATATATTTATATATGTATATATGTATGTTCGAGCACGTACGTTTATTAATGTACTTTGTTGGAAGATGCTACGCCGTAAATTTTGTAAAGCAGATTCTGACGTGTTGCAATACGAAAAGCATAAGACTGAATGTGAATAATAAAATATGTATATTAATGTAATATACAATAAATGTTTGTGTAAAATTAAAACGTAATAATGTTCGATAATCATCTCCCTTTAATCGCTCTACGATTTTTGTATATTTTTCTTTTTCTTTCTAATTAATGATATGTAACAAATACAAAACAAGGAGCATGAATTTTAGACCAACGTTCCTGTGCCTCTCACATCGTCTAACCTCTCCATGACAGTACGAGAATGTACGAATAATAAAATTAATGAAAAGATCCCAGATAGCATTTGATGCTTTAAAGATGTTCACATAATTTCAAGGATATTAGTATAAAATTCAATTTGAAAATATCTTATAAATATAATTATTCTTATACTAATATATATAATTGAAAAAAAATTTGCTTTACAATTTCTTCTTTAAAACGTTTTTCCAAAAAAAACATCGTCTGTCTGGGATACAAGCGCAAGTAGAAATGGCTGGAGGGTGAGACGGACTGAATGAACAAAATCAAGTGTACAAATAAATATAAAACGTATATTTAAATTAAATGCCACAAAGTATCTTGTTGTATGTTCTTGCGTCATGAACGAAGTCAGAGCTGTACTAGATTTTTTTTCCGCCTCATTTGCTTCTTCTCTTCATATTCTTTTCCTCCACGTGAAATTACAGTGCTCTGAGACGACGAACGAACGTATTATCTATACACACGCGCCATTTTATACGCGGAACAACGGAGAAAAAAAAAAAAAAGCAGAATCGTACTTTCTGTCGCTTCGAACGCGTACCGCGAACGATTCGGAACCGGAAGCAAACAGTTCATGCGAATCGACTCCACAATTCTTTCTCTCTCTCTTTCATTCTTTCTCTCTCACTCTCTTCCCTTTTTGTTTCTTTATCTCTCTCTCTCTTTCTCTATTAAACTCTAAAAATAAAAGAGGAAACTTCGCAACGGTATGCAAAACCAACGGAAAAAATTTTTTTTTCTTTTCCTTTTTCTCTTTTTCCTCTTTAAAACGGTCGATTCTTTAACACACCGCAAACGTACAATTCTTTTCTTCCTCGTTTTAAGCGTACTCAGTCTTATGCGAGCCACGAAATGTCTGGTGCACCACAGTTTCACGCGGGTTCGTTAAATCGTAGCGAATCTGACGAGCAAAACGAAAATGCTAGACGCGTGATCCGGACTGACGGGTTCTATTTAACGAAAAAAAAAGGAAGAGCAAGAAAAAAGAATACAAATTAAATTAGTCGAAACGATCGATCGAACGTAGGAAGGTCGTGTTTCTATATCATCTAAGGAAAAAGCAATAACAAAATGTATAAGCGATGAAGAGAATGCTCAAATTGAAAATTGAAATTGAAAAACGAATATTATTTAACGAGTGATTTTCTCCCGTGATTTTTTCTTTTTCTTTTTTTCTTTTTTTTTTTTTTTTTTGGATACGTAAGCGTAAACGAGAAGTTAGATAATATGCAGGGAATAGCATCGATAGAAAATCTATCGCGCTTCGTATCCATATCGTGTTTAAACTCGCCGGAATCGAGTTGCGGATAATTCATACGAGACAAGTGTTCCTCTTGAATGTGTCTCTTAACATTTATATCATGATAAATAATGAAATTAGTATTATTGCTGTGCATTCGCTTAATCGTGGACTATGTATTATTGCTTTGCGAGATTTTTCCATTTTCTTTCTTTTTTTTTTTTTAAACTTCCCTTCTGAACGATCACGAACCACACTTTCGAACGATCGTGATCATTTCTTCATTTTCTTCGCAAAAAAAAAACGATAAGAAATCTTATCGATTGTCTACGATGGATAGCGATTTTTTTTTCTTTCTGTTTCTTTCCTCTATTTGTTTGTTGTTTTTTTTTGTTCGACGTATAGCGTTTAAGGGTTGTTGATTATTGTTTTTTTTCTTCTTTTTCTTTTTTTGTATGTCTGTCGTTTTAATCGATATATTTACAACCTCGGACCGCTCGAAACTTACTCGAAGCTCGCGCGCGAAATAACATCGATCGATGAACACTAACGTGTGGTACGTAGTAGATACTATAGTTGGTAGTAGTAATAGTCTAAAAAAGATCATACACATATTTCGCGCATGCACGCAGCATTTCGTGCGCTACAAGCATGCACAGGGCACTTGTTATGTACAGGAGATATTCACACGCTATACGTACACGTGTATCGTTAAATATACGGCCTACGTAAGATTTTTCTCGAATATACAGCGTTTAAGGTACACTCGGAAACGAGCGATTAACAGCATTCGACGCCTGTAAATTTTTTACTACGATTTTTTCTTCTCTTCAACTCTTCTCTCTCTCTCTCTCTCTCTCTCTCGCTCGCTCGCTCGCTCTCTTCTCTCTTTTCTCAATAGAATTATTTTTATATACATATAGATTTATATATGTATATATATAATATATACTTATATAGATTTTTTTTTCGATACCATAGGTACATGTAATTGCTTACGCGATTTATGTACAAATTATCACGGTTTCAGGTAGCCGAGAAGATCAGTAATTAATAAACGAAAACGAGATCCGGCCATCAACGGCCCGTCAACGAATCTCATATTTTTTCCATTCGCGCGATAATTTATTCGAGTAATAATTTATTGCTACTAGTGCTTTTTTTTTTTTCTAATTTTCTATTCGTCTCCTTCTATTTTCGATAACATTCAATGTTCAATCGATGAATCTCGCTCGAGAATTATTATTTATTTGCAAGAAACACGCTGCTACTCGCTACTATGGTCGCTAACGAATCCTTTTAAGGCGAAATTTATGGCTATAATCGTAAGGCGATGCAAGTCGTTTATACGGTCGATGAAGAAATCGTGGTGTAGCTTGCAAACGAGCGAGCACCATCGATCGATCGTCGTCCAAGTTCGATTTATATCGAACAGAACAATACCGGGCCGATATGACTGTTCTCGTCTTCGAAGAATAGCGGTAATAATAACATCGCTGGCATTATTAATTTATACTGCGCGGTAACGAAAAAAAATCAACGTCCCTTCGTCGGCTCGACATGACGTGCATCCACGTCTTTTCTCCTCTATCCCTTAGACTAATTTCTCTCTCCATACTCATTTTCTATTTTTCTCTATCTACTGATAATTATTATTATTATTATATCCTCTCTCTTCCCTTTCTTTCATTCTTTCTTTTTTCTTTTTTTTTTTTCCATTTTTCTTGCTACGTTCATCGATAAAACGAAATGTTACAATTTTTTATCGAATTAACGACGCCAACACACGGAAAAGCGGAAACTCGAAACGAAACGGTACCTCTTTCAAACTCGCTTAAAAACAACAGTGCACGGAGCGAATTTAATTTTCCTAAGCGGCAAACAATTGTAATCGAACTAAGCGCAAATTTATAACGTTCCTTCTTCCCAATTTTTTTCCTTTTTCGAAGATCGACGGTGATCGAACAATCATTCGTTCCTATTTACTTCACCCTCTTCTATCTCCATTTCATCATTTGGCCGCCTATCTCGCTTCTTCTCTCTTTCACTAACGCGTACGCACGATTTAGAATAACTTTGACTAATCAGTTAAATATCACAATCTATGATAAGAAGTTCATAAATATATGTATATATATATATATATATATGTATGTATATATATATATACATAGATATATGCCACCAGTCACGCCATGCTGGAAAAACCGACACAGCGTCGCAAATTAGAACCGACACAGTTTTACAAAAATAAATTGTCTCGGATGTGTTAATGTGTGATGGTGGTGTGAAAGTTATCTACTATATACTCGGGACAATGTGTACGGCTTGCTATACTCGTCTGTCAAAAAATTCATCGAATTTCCTTCTAAATTTCTCACCAACTTACACTAGAAGAAGAAGAAGAAGAAGAAGAAGAAGAAGAAGAAGAAGAAGAAGAAGAAGAAAAAGAAGAAGAAGAAGAAGAAGAAGAAAAAGAAGAAGAAGAAGAAGAAGAAGAAGCTAATTTTACCTAACGAAATTCTCGCTATAAGTGTGTTGCTGTCATTGCTTCGAACAAAGCGATACTTCTTCACTAATAATAATAGAACATACCAATTAGAATTTTCAATAATTTTCCATTCCAAAAGAAACGAGAAATAATTGCATTAAACGAGTCGTTGTAAACGCGTTCTATGTACACGTACACAAGTATGTACGTAAACAAGATCGTCGTAGAAAAACACAAAAGCGAAGGGAAATTAGAAGAAGAAAAAGAAGAAAAAGAAATAGAACGGAAAAGAAGAAAACGGAGAAGAAACAACGGTACGTGATGAGGTTGTAGGTGTATGTGTATATGTATATACGTAAAAAGAGATCGTGATAAAAAAAATATATATATGTATATATGTATACTATGATCTATGTATGTACATGATGAGACCCTCTGTACGCGGACCGAATTTAATTGGAAAATAAGTTGAAGTTTCTACGCGCACGACAATTCGATGATCGGCCATTCATGGCTAACTACATTTACATATCTTATTAAACGTATTTACAGGAGGACAATGTCGTAAATCTGATTATTCTCTGGTAGACTGGTATTTACAAAAAAAAATTCCTGGCTGGTGTTTTTCACGTATCGCAGAAAAAATGCGTGTCACTCAGCGGTCTGTGTCTTCGAAAAGAAAGAAACCAACGAACACTATTTACTCGTTATTTAGCTATTCTTTCTACTTAAAACGTCGTTAAACGTCCTGTATAACGAAAAAGGAAAAAAAAAAAAAAAANGTAATCTTTTCTTTCTTTTTTGTTGGCTGGTCACGTGATCCTTTATCCTTTGCACAAACACGCATACACACGGGTTGACTAAAATTTCGATGTCGTTTCATTCCACTTGTTATCATCGTCGCTTCTCTCTTCTCGCTCAAAAAACCTCTACGGGTAAAGCATGAATTTTGACTCGTTCCTTTTTTCCTTTTCTTTCTTCTTTCTTTTTTTTTTTTTTATATCTCGTTTTGCTCTCTTTCTTTTTTTTTTCTTTCTCTGATTTCCTCCCCCTTTGCTCTCCATTTATCTTTCTTTCAAACGAGTCGCGCCACGACGAAATACAGCGATCAGAGTTCGAATCTCCTCTATCCCCTCCGATCCTGCATCGAGAGAGATTTGCAACGATTTTCGGTAAAAAAATTGGACAAAGAAATAGTATGTATATATCAGTCGATGTTCTAGTACCTATCTACTGCCAATATAATATGTTTGAAAAAGGGGCTAGCGTCGGTATTGTTGCACAATACGATGATCCCGATTCGCTTTTCCGTGAAAAATATATATAACATCGGAACAGAAGCATCGTTACGAGATTAAAAAATGCTATTTTATTTTTTCATCGTAGCCTCTTGAGCGAACAGTTCAAGGGGAATAACGATAATATATTCCGGGAATGTTTCGCAACGATAATCGTGAATTCGATGAACCCCGTTCGCGTATTTTTATTATATCGATTTCTCGCGTTGATCTATTTTTGTAAACAGTTTTGTAAACAAGCAAGTAATCGAAAGAAAGATAAGAAATTTAAAAAATCTGGAACGTGCTTCTGTTTCTGTTTTCTGCGAAACCCCACTTCCCCCCCCCCCCAAGTTTTACGCGTATATCCTCTAAAGTGAGCGATCCAATAATGCGATTAACGTGCCTACGAACATGTCTGACGATGGTTGTGATTCTTTCTAAGAAAACGATCATCGGCTGGCAGAATAGAGACGACACGCGGTACAAAAAGAAAGG